CCCCAAAACCCCAAAACCCCAAAACCCCGTAAAGTTTTAATTTTATTGAAATCAAATCTTATTTAACTTCCTCTCCATTTTTATATCTAACTCTTGTTCTTTTTCCTTTTTTGTCAATATGGTATCCTTCACCATGCCTCTTTCCCAAGTGGAAGTTTCCTTCATATGAATTGCCATCTTTCTTTGTCAGTGTTCCTTGACCTTCAAACATATCTATAATGTTTACAACCAAAAATACTATTTTCAAAGTATCCAGCATAAACTTTGCCTGATTTGAAAGTAAACTTTCCTCTACCATTCCTCAAAGAATCCTTATAATATCCTGTGTACACATCACCATTAGCATGCATCATTGTTCCTAAAGCTAGGCTCAAACTGTACCTTCTCCGTGGAACTTATTATTCTTAAATTCTCCATTATACTCATCTCCGTCCTCAAAGATTAATTCTCCTTCACCATGCTTCATGCCGTTCACGAAATTACCAAAGTACTTATCCTTTGGGGATTGTTTCATTCTGAAGGAATCATGCAAATGCTTACATCTCAAGGGCAATGCCATTGAGTCTCCCATCTTTGAAATTTCCTTGGCAGAAACCAGTCTTTGTTACTAGTTTACCGTATCCAAAGAATTGTCCTGTTTGTTTATTATTGAATATTTACCGTTCTCGAACTCCCCTGTGAAGGATTATCAGGGAGGCTTACCTTGGTAGACATCTCCGTTACTCTACGGGTTAACGATGAAGCTTACATATATGAGTCTGCCCTTGCCTTCAGGCTTGTCATTTACAAAAAATCCTTCGTAAAGATCTATAGTTTTGAGGATTGATGAAGATAAGGAGTTTAATGAGCATTTAAAATTTATCGTGGTAAGTAATGAGAAATTATTGAAGTAGCATAAGACAAAAATAACTGCTAGCTTATTATTTAATCGTCTTCTGTTGTCAGAATTAGCAATAAGCCTACTTTGTTTGTTTTCCAGGTATCTAAAATTTTATCAAAGCTAATACACTCCTCTTCCTTGTTTGCAGTTCCCAAGGAATTCTCCAAAATACAGAGACTTCATTTTCTTCCCGTTGTTCTCCTTGCTAGTACCTTTGCCATATCTAGATATGACCAGGCAAGCTTACTCAACTTTCTTCTGTATTTTGTAAGAAGAAGTATCATCAGAAGCTCCAGCATCCCTTGTTTTCACTTTGAAAGGCCCAAGCTTAATGAATTTGGCAAGTGCTGTTTCAGACCTACAGAAATTGAGTATTGAGAAAATTTGGTAGATAAAGCAGTAATCTCAAAAACTTATGTACTTGGCTCCTTATTCTCAAAGAACTAGCTATGCACCTATACTTTGGCTCATCTTAAGCTCTGATTCATATAGTCCAGAAATGTAAAGGAGTATCCTTATTTGTTATAAAAGTTGGGTATCAATTAGTAGAACGAGTCTTATTGATGACTAAAGAGTTGGCTTACTCTAGGTTTTCTTTGATCCAATCATAGATAAACTCCTTAAACATTTGCTTGCAATACCCTTTCCTAGTGAAGCTTGGCTTGGTATGTATGTCGCCATAGTCAGAATCTGAATGAAAATTATTGTGGGAAGCTTACCTTCATAATCAGAACTCGAAAACTCATCATAAAATTCCTTTTGGTCTAATATCTTTGCTGGTGAATTTTCTTTGGACCGCTGGCATCTCTTTTCAGCTTTCTCCTTTCTCTTCTTTGCTCTCTTTTCGCTTTTCTCCGGCCCTTAAATATTAAGAGGGAAGTTTACTTATAGTTGATCTTCGTTTGGATTCCTTATCTTCTTCATTGCCATCTCAGAGTTTACCTCACCATTGTCCGCATGCTGTATTTCCCATTAGATAGTTTATTCCAATTTTTATTTTATGTAGGGGTTTTGGGGTTTTGGGGTTTTGGGG